TACACATCACCATAAAATAATAAATTAGGCAGGCTTGGCGACAGGGCCCTGTGGAATTTGATGGAGCCACAGTACACATTCTCCCTGACCTATCGAGACCTACCCTCCGCATGTGGTGCTTGCTTCACCCTCTGCTGGATTTAATCAGGGCTACCAATGCCACCTACAGATCGTGACATCCCTTCCACTTGTGAGACAATTTGTCATTCCAGGTTATTGAATGCCGCAAATGTGTGCATTCCCTTGCTTTGAAAACAAACCACCTCCCCATCGTTACCTATGTGGATTGACAAAGTGGGTGACATTTTTCACTCTAAAGAATACAGAAGGGAAATGTGGGTCCACCTGGGCCCCATAGCTGGCCTATCAATATTCTGATGCTTATCTCCATGTGAAGTCTGGAAGCTCTCCTGGTTGAATACTTTCAAGAGTGAATAGTGGGTCTAGAGGGTCACTAACTCTTCTCGCTTGTCTCTTCTCTCTCTTTGTTCCTACCTCTCTGGCTCTTTGCCCTTATTTTTCTCCATCCTTTCACTCCCTCCCTAGCTGTTTCTACCCATCCCCTGTGTTCTTTCATGGTTTACCTTTTGTTTTTCGAACATTCATATCTGTTGCCTCAGCTAAAGATGGCGATTGTCCCTTTTCCACCCTCAGTATTCTTTATCTGATTCATTAACCTGGAATGGGACACACTTGATTTTTTTTTGGTTGACCCTCCATGGATTGAATATATGCTGCTATGATGTTGCAACCCACAGATGTAACATATGATATGGGCATTTGCCTACATTCCTTGTCTTATTTAACCATTTTACAACACACCTGAGTCTTCTCTCCCTGAGTCTTTGCATCAATTCCCTTATGCTTTATTTGATCCAATAGACATTTTTAATTAAAACATAATCGGCATTGGAAGTCTAAGCATACCTATAGTATACACAGTCCATAGTCCTTGTAACCACAAAACATCCCTTAATTACTGTGTTATTAGTAAGAGGCTCAGCCACACACCTAAAAGACAATTTGAAAGAAGATGAGTGCAAGTGTTGACAAAATAAATGTGTGGGGAAAATGGGGGGAAAAGTGCTGTTAAAGTGAATGATCTAATATTAAGTCATATCATGGTGGATTTTTGACTGGACAACAATCTAACAGTGAGTGTCAGATGTGGAAGCAGATGTGTGAAGATCCACTGTGTATTTTCACGTAGCTTGTAGGATCATGTAGCTTTATGCATAGTCCGCTTAATAGGTGCCACATTAACTCTGATTTTGGAACTATATTTCTTCCTAGCAAACTGACAGAATATGAAAAGCACACACCTCAACTACTTAGATCTAAATGTGCAGCCTACTGCCCCAGTTTTACTGTCAAACCTCAAGTCTTCCCCATACAGGGTGCAGGCCGATGCTGGATTGCTCTATATAGGGACTTCCTGATCACTGTAGTTTAACCCCTGCTGAAGCCAGGAGTGGGCTGGACATTAGGAGCTTAGATACAATTCTGCCTTGTGAAGTATGCAAAGTTTAAATGTCAGAGACCGTGATTAAAGCAATGTTTAGCAAAATGTGTGAGAAACCATAGGTCAAGAGGTCCGCAATTCTTCCTCAAGTTTAGGTGTAGTGACCTGTGATTAAAGCAATAGGTAGTAGGGTGATGTTTTATGAACCAGAGGTCCACAAGACTGCTCATTGTGAAAATGCGGAACAGTTCTGCACAATCCGGGACTGTTGGGAGGTGTAAATTAGAAACAAGTATTGATATGTGACAATTGCCTTTATATATGTAATACCCAGTATAATTTTTAGATTTCTACTTTAAACTGCTGAGATGAAGTTAGCTGGTTTGACTGTTGTGTTACAAGACTGAGGGCAATATGATCAGGTCTGTAGGGGAGTACCTCTTTAAGAGGTAGCAGGAGATGGAATGATGTCCCTAAATAACAGTTGATTTTCGAAAGCCAATTCCTCAATAAGTCTGTGTAAATCCACTATAGCTTGGAGACTTGGCACTCTGTATTGCATGGCGGACTTTGAATGGGAACCACAGACAATGTTATCACCCTCTCACAGTCTATACAGTACAATAACTTGAATGAGGCAAGATTTGTTGTGAGACTGAGCCGGGAGTGAGAACCCAGCACAATTTCTGTAGAAGCAACATGCATCTTGCAGCAGGGGAAGCAGCTTTTGGGATTTTTTTTTCTGCTTGCAGACTTTGGGGTTGCCCTACATTCAGCAAAACACTGCCCTTTTATTAATTGTGTGTGAGACGTTTAACTGCTCATTGCCTGTGGAAAGCCTTTGGTAAAATGTTGTACAGCTACCAGGATTAAGCAGGTGAACAATCTGAGCTGTTCTTTTCAAATATGCATCAATGAGCAATGTACAGTTGCCAGTCAAATAGTTGCTTTTTCCAACATTTTGCTTAGCTATGGGTTACCATACTTTATTCGTATTTCTTGGCATCCTTGTATAAACCTTTTGTATAATCCATGCATTGCGAGCACATGGCTCATATATGCAGAACTGGCAATAGGCTCTCTGTTAATTTTCAGCAATTGTTTTACATTGTATTTTAAAATAAGGTTAGTCCAATGCATAGACTGGCCATATTAAGGTGCAAATCCAGATATTTTTTTAAAGTTTTGGATAGAGCATGCAATATTTAGAACCCCTTTTGGATTTTTACCATCATCTGGGATCTTCTAGGGTTCATGCTAATGATGGTTTCAGCCAAACACTGCATTTGCATTTTCAAATGCATGCAGCTGCATTTTAATGGAAAAATGTAGCATTTGAGAAGAAGATGCTGCATTTCACCTGTGTTGCCTGCAGTTTAAATGGACCTAGGGCATAAAAATAAGACATGTTGTGTCCAAAGAAATACAATGCAAAACCGGTGAAATGCAGCCTTTGAATCACCCTGTGTAGTGCTCAAAGTAAATGGAATTATGCTGACTTATGTTTGTGTGTTCCAAACACATCACATGCAGGAAAAAACACCTGTCTATATGAGCCAGGTATAACTTGCAGCAATAGAAAGTTGAGAGGACCCTTTCATCACTGTGTGTTGTGGAAAAAAAAATATACCCTCTTTGAATTCTATTGTTATGCATATCAGGACATAATAAAAAATAATCTGGTTCTTAGCAGATCTTAAAATTTAGGTAAATGCAACCTCTGATGAACAACACCACATGACATATTACCCTGTGTCATTATTTTACAAACATAAAGCCAAAATGGAATAGTTGTGTAGAAAAACTCAGGACTCACTACTTCCATAGGAATTAAGAGGATACGTAGCAGCCAGTTGCTGCTAATCAGATGCCCTTGATTAAACATCAGCAAGTGTGACCACCTCTATAAAAGCTAGGCTTTAAAAGCTAAGTTATTGCTGCTAAATGTGGTTATACCAGCTTTTAAATCATAAGGTATACTTTGTTTTTCACTCATGACTCCTCCTTTTTGGCTTTGTAAAATAGACACATTGTATTATGCAATTATGTAATTTGTTGTTGTTCATCTGAGGTAGTTTCACCTAATTTTCAGACCTGCCAAGGTCAAAGGTGCCAAGCTTTAACAGAGTCCCGGCGGCAAAAGTCGCCGGGAGTCTGTTTAAACAGCCCCGATGCTGGCGACGTACACTGTACGTCGTCAGTCACGAAGGGGTTAATAATGTGTCTCTGGCGATTTCCCATCACATTGCACTGGCAAGAAGTAACCGGAAATATAATATACTATATAATACTGTGTCTGCTCTATGCAAAAGTAAAATGTTTTGGCTCGATTTGAGCTTTAAAAAAAATTTGCTCAAGGCAAGTGCATTCAAAGAGTAATAAAGCTCCCCCTGTAGGGAAATGCAAAAAATACTTTCAGCCTTGTCATTTTGCTATGTTACATATATATTGCACTTATGTGATATAATTTTAATTGACAGACTTTAAGGCTTATAATTTAGGGATAATCTCTGGGGGTGTGCAAATTGTGTAAATGTTGCATTTGAAAAAGTACAGAAAATGCGTTTTTTCCATTTCTTACAAAAATAAACCTAGGAAATAAAAGTATATGTATACAAATCTGCTACCAAATGAAAGTCCCATCTGTCGCCCCAAAGATTGTGTACTATGTTGGGGTAAACTCTAAAAGGTAGAATGTGCATAACTGAGACATCTCTTAAAAATAAATACTCTGGATTAAAGGTGGAACAGACCTTCGGGACTGTGAGGAGTTTTTAATATGGTTGCATTCAATAGGAAACTACAAAATCCTTTAGTTTAGCTGTATTTGTCTGAAATCTGGTATGCCATTATTTTACACTAGCTGAAAGTTTGTGTTTAATTTGCAGTGGGAATCCCTGCCCTTTTAAGATGAGTTAGGAGCAGGCAGAACTTTCTGGAGACGGGAGTGGGTGTTCCCAATGGTTGATTAAACAATAATAGCCTGAACAGCAGGATAACAGTCGCACAATATCTGCAGGTCATAGAATTTGTTGGCTTGTTCTGTAGCCCATGCAGCCAAACAGCAGCACTTTAGAAGACCTTTGCCTGGCAGAATAGTAGCAAGTGTTTTTCAGTTGAGTGTTCAGCTAAAGTTACCCTGTACGATCTTATAAGAGTAATTATTTGAATAATTTTTTGCAATATAAATTTAAAGATGTGTTATGCATTCACAATGCATGTAGTTTATGGTTGTTGACACTGTGGAAATAAACATGGATATTTTATCTAACAAAGTGTGCCACCTTTAGTCATTTCTTGTTTTAGGCCATCATCATACTTTCACAGTTGCCTTGAACTTGAGTTGTCAGTTTCTAAAACTTCCCTTCACTAATTATTGAAATAGCTTCTGTATGCCAAGGTGTCTGCATTTTCCCCCCATTATTCTAGTAACTTGTTTGTTCACTCATGTCAAATTGGCTGTGACAGCCTTTATGAAAGGTCGTATTTCTTGGATTGTAATATAAGCAGCATTTTAAACGTATATATTTCTTTGCAGGATACCCAAAAGGCAAAACAATTTCTTCCCTTCCTGCAGAGGGCTGGGCGTTCAGAAGCCATTGTAGAGTATGTGTTCAGTGGGTCCAGACTGAAGCTTTACATGCCTAAGGAAACATGCCTTATTACCTTTCTCCTAGCTGGTAAGTAAATACTTAAATGAAGCCCATTTAAAATCTTTTTGGGGAAACATTTTTTCAACTTGAATTACTGATTCCATAATATATAAACTGTGCTGACCATGGAAGTACACGATTGTCAGAAAATGTTTCTTGGTCACCGCATTAATGTTTTACTGCCTTTCAAAGCGATGGTCTATTTGAAGCACTATTTCTTGTTTTTGTCCATTTTAAGACCCATTTTACACTGGTAGGAGAGTGCTTAATTTCTCAACCATAATTTATTTTGTAAAATTCGAGGGTTCCTCCAAAAGCTGCTACAGGTGTTCCTTGAGCAGTGGCATTCCAAGCTTGCTCCTGTGATTGACTACAATCTCAATACAAACTAGTAGTCCATCACTGGAGCCATTTTTTTTTTTATTGTTGTTTATCCGATTAACCGATTAATCGAACTTAATAATCGGCTAACTAATCGATTTTGAAAATAATCGTTAGCTGCAGCTCTAGATGGATCTCCTATTTGGAAATGCTTGCAGCTTCATTGTCACTTAGCAGAGCCAGTGGCGTGGGACCAAAAAACAACCTATATAATTGGCCACTACACTGATCATCATCCTAAGGAGAATGCTTTCCACTTATTACCAATGTACGTGGGACCTTTCTCCACTAGAATAAATGTCCCCATTGAAAGATCCCCCCTTCACCTCCTGCCTCAGTGAAATCTGTAAAATCTTAGATTTCTTGCTTTGCTTTTTTTTCCTGGTAATAATGGTCACAAAGGCACATGGAGAGGTTTTTTTTATCGCAGTCTGAGTCCTTGCTGGGAATATTCACCCTGACATGGGTTTTAACAAATGTGACATGGCTTGTAACAGACGTGTAAACTTTGCAGAGATACTTTAGTAGACGCTAAAAATTATGACAAAGCTGCACATTTTCCTTATTGGTCTGAAACAAACCATACCTCCCTTAAATGTTTGAGATGAGAAAAAAGGGCCACCTTCCAGCACAATGTATTTAAACAATAGACACACCCCTTCCATGCCCTCAGTTATGCAGACTATTAAAAATATATGTGCAAAAATTGATTGGTTAAACCCATTTTTTCACCATCACTTTTCCTATATATTGGCTTTTTGAAGTAGCACACAAGATAATTAGGAGGCAAGATACAGATTTTTACTATAGAATAACACTTTTGCAAATGAAATAGAATGTTTCATAGATATCTGTACCTCAGACTAAAAAGAGGAGCAGCTAAAGAGGACAGAGGGATTTTGGTTCCAAATGAGGCACAGTTGGGATTCTAATAAAATGAAATGCTGGAGCTGCTGCTTTTCCTAATACATGGAGATTGACCAGGTGGCTACAAGACACTCTCCCACTTTACCAGGTTTAGAAAGTGCTTGCAAGGTTTATGTTCATATTTCCCTATTTTCTATGAAACTAAAGAAGATGGTTGAGAGGAAGCTTTGAAATGCAAAGCACAAGGGATCAGTTTTGTGCTCACCCATACAACTTTAAATAGGTACTTGGTGCCTCTATATTATTCATAAGATTAGTCTTGTTTTGTTGCTCTATGGGTATTCCATGCCACCTGTTTTGTTAATGTTGTGTACTCTTTGGATGTCAGCAGTGGCAGCACCTAAATTTATGTCTGGTTTTATGTAAGGTTGGCTCTCCCTAATGTAAGTGGTGTTTAAAAACAATAACTATGGTTGAACCTCTTTAAAGCACAAATGCATTCTATGAATTTAGTTTCTTCTGTTGAAAATGTTTCCTAAAATCATTGTGGTTAAACGCATCATCCTTGCTGTGTCTTTTATGTGCATTTAATATTTCTCAACCAGCCATGACCAGTAAGTGACCTGTTGATTGCCCTAGAATCATTTTCAGCTTATTCACCAGAGGAGGAAAACATTCTAATTTCTCTCATGCTGGCAGTATAATCAACTTAGCTGCATTTGCTGGATCACAAACCAACAAGTTTATCTTGCAGAAGAGCCCCTTCACGTTTTAGTCTTATTTTTGTCAGTAATTTGTGTGACATAGTTTTGATTGTGTTCTTATTTAAGTGTATTAAAGTGGATCTTTAAGAAAATAGCTAAATGGTTAAGATAAAACATGTAAACCACCTTACTTGCCAAACTGAATCATAATTTTGTGATTCTAACGCCTTTGCCAGACAGTTCAGCCAGAGGGGTTATATCACTTTTCGGTTACAGTTAGGGATTACAGTACTGTCTCCTCACCACTTAATTGAACTATAAAGGAGCTACAATACACTGATATGTCATACAGTTTGATCTGTCCTCTTGAGCCCGATGGGCTCCTAGTGCTGTCCCTCCCTTTATGGTTTCTGGTGTTTTGGAGTTGACAGGCTGATATCAAGACAATAACTTAAATTGTAACAATGTAGCATTTTGAGTTTTAGGTTGAATTCACACTGCTGTACACAGTGCAGCACACTGCAGTGACTAGATCTTACTAGCCCCATACAAAAGAATGGGATTTCAAATAATATTAAACCACCTTACTTGCCAAACTGAATCATAATTTTGTGATTCTAACGCCTTTGCCAGACAGTTCAGCCAGAGGGGTTATATCACTTTTCGGTTACAGTTAGGGATTACAGTACTGTCTCCTCACCACTTAATTGAACTATAAAGGAGCTACAATACACTGATATGTCATACAGTTTGATCTGTCCTCTTGAGCCCGATGGGCTCCTAGTGCTGTCCCTCCCTTTATGGTTTCTGGTGTTTTGGAGTTGACAGGCTGATATCAAGACAATAACTTAAATTGTAACAATGTAGCATTTTGAGTTTTAGGTTGAATTCACACTGCTGTACACAGTGCAGCACACTGCAGTGACTAGATCTTACTAGCCCCATACAAAAAAATGGGATTTCAAATAATATGGGGAATTTATCAAAACTGGAGCAGGCAGAATCTGGAGCAGCTGTGAATGGTAACCAATTGGCTTCTCCCCAGTTTGTTTAAGATTTCAATGAACAAAATTGTTTGTGTGCAGATCCTGAGTAATTAGGTGCCACACCCCTGATTAAGTGACAATGGCAAAAAGGAAAGGAAAAAAGTGGGGTTTTTGAGGCACCAAATGACAAGTCCAATAAGCTCCAAAAAGTTTTGATATATAAAAATGTATTATAATCCATTACAAAAGGTTAAAAACATCACAGTTGATATATCATAAAAAAAAGAATACCTCCCAACACCCACTATGTTCCAAGATAGTCAAACTAAGCATGATAAAAGGAATGTAGTAACATGATTGTTCCAAATAGTACCATATAATGGATATGATTAAATTAGAAAAACTATGAAGAAATACAGTCCATTTGATAGTTTTGTAAACCTTTTAACTGGAACCAGATTAGGGGGGGGGG